AAACCAAAGTCTGAAAATATTAAAGTGAAAGTTCCAGAAATAAACAATTCATATTTTTTAAACTCTTATTTAATGTTCTCTCTCCCTCTCCCCCCCCCCCTTTATTTTGTGACAGGGTCTCACTCTGTAGCCAGGCTGCCCTTGAACTTGCTATACAATCCAGGCTGGCCTCAGGCTCACAATTGTCCTGCCTCATATGCCACCATGCCTGGCAATTATTCTATTTTATTAGTGCTATTATTGTTAATCTTCCTGTGCCTGATTTATAGGCTAAACTTTATCATAAGTCTGTTTGCATAGGACAGTACAATATATACAGTAAGTATGGCTCAGTATTATCTGTGCTTTCAGACACCACCCCCAAAACAAAACCTCCACAGTGGGGTGGGGGCAACCTTAAAACTGCTCCCAAATACTCTGTTAGAGTTTCTTCAGTGTTCAAGACTTCTGAAAAGAACAACAATAACAAACTCCAAAGTGGGTCCAGCTGGACTCTCCCCAACCCCTCAGTCTCTGGCTCAGTGTGGCCTTTTCAGGCTCGGAGCTGTGTGTGTCCCTCTGTTAGTGCCACAGTTGAGGACACCTGCAGTCTGGCCTGAGCACAATGGGGGCATATAGTTATGGTGACACCCACGAGCCCGGGCCTCATGGAGCTTGGAATTTGGCAGGGTCTCTGGAGACAGGGGAGTCCACACGGAGGAGGAGACCTGTTCCCTGGTGGAGGTCACTTTACTGATTTTCTCATCCTCCAAGGCAGCAGTCTGAAGGGTGTGAAGAGGGAACAGGTGTGCTCACCCTGCTTAACCTGAGAGGAGGGGACCAGGGCCAGATGAAAGGAGAGGTCGGGGGGCCTGGGGAGGAGACTGGAGAGAGAAGTGCCTAGTCCTGGGCTCTGGTTCTCAGCCTGGCAGTGGGACTAGGGCTGACCCCAGGGAGAGGCCATTGTCCCCATGTTCCTGAGAAGCAGGCTGGCCCTGTGGGGTGATGGGGGCTGAAAAGAAGCTCTCCACCTGAGCATCTCCAGGGACAGGCAGCATGGGACAGACCCTGGAGAACCAGAGCAGGGTTCAGGGCAGCCATGCTGCCCAGGGCAGGAGTAAGCTCTGGGCTGAGGATGGCCACTTAGTGCACATCTGAGCTTTGCTTCAGAATGGTGGCCATCCCTAGAAATACTTAGGGTCAGAGTCTGAGCTCCCAGAGGTGAAACTGCTGCAGTCATAATGTTAGGCAGAGAGTTAATCATTAGCAGGCTGGAAACAGGTGGCTGGGGCTACTTGAACATCAAAGAAGATGTGACTTTTCTTCATAAGGTCCAGGGCCCATATAAAGCTCAGACCTTTGGAAAGAGATTGGAAAAACTTTGAGGTCCCAAAGCAAACTAAATGGAGACATCCATTTACCTAAAGTGTAAACAGAGACCTGCTTCTCTCAGAAGCAGGTAAACACAGCCCATTCTGTTTGCTCAAGAACAGTAACACAGTCAGGGATCACTACTGGGAGGGGGAAAGAGGTGGGATCCTGGGCCCTTTCCTGCTGCTCTTTAAAAGCATGATTTGCCTTTTCACAGGGAATAGCCAGGGACTTAGAAGCCATTTTTGCTGTGAATTATAACTCGTCACTTGGGCCTGCAGATACCCAGTCAGTAACTAAAAGCAGAACAAAATTTGGCCTTCATTTTGTATTCTCTGTTGCTTCAAAACTTGGGTTAAATCTCTTCTCAGCTTAGCATATAGATATGCTAATCACTTAGGGAGTCTGTCTAAAAGTTGGTGAATCAGGGTTCATTTTCCCTGAATTTAATAATTTCACACTCTTCAAGACTGAGGACACCAGGATAGATGAGTTTCAGCTATGACTGAGAAGTCTCCAGCCATTGTCCTGCCTTGCCATCACCTGGAAATGCAAACATCCCCCAGCCATAAAGATTCCAGAACCATGACACCAGGACTGAGATAATGATTAGCTGGGCTTTGCATGTGGCCAGTTTGAGCCCCCTTCAGCTACCTAAGCTGGGTCCTTTCCCATATTCCCTCTAACTTTCCAATTAAAATTTTTTTCTATAAAATTGTGCTTTAGTTTTAATTTCCATTGTTAACCAAAAGCAAGGACCCAAGCTAGCTGGCAGCAAAATCTCTCATCCAGGCCGGAGGGGTGACAAGGGGAACACTATTGGTGTGGCCTCATTTGTTTGCCCAGTGCGTCAAAGCAGCCCTAGTATATGCCAATGCTGGAGCCTGAGGGCAACCTGTCATTGAGCCACTGCACTGGGCTGGAGGAATCAGATATGATGCTGAGATTTGGGACCAGGTTCCCACTCTCTTGAGACCTCTGCCTCTTCCGGAAACCTGAGGAAGCTCTGGGGCCCCTACCTGCTAGGGATCTGGGGGTAAGAACAGGAAGAGGTAGGGAAGAAGCCCACCTTTGCAGGTGAGCCCTCCTCTTACTCCCCCTGAATCTCACCAGCTCTGCTGAGAACTCAGTGACTACCCCGTGAAGGAGGTTCTGTGCTCCCCCAGGGGTCCATAGCACAGCCACAGCCACTAAGCTGAGGACAGTGCCTCCCCAGTTGGACAGCTGGCCCTCCACTGTCCGAGGGCTACTTTGGAGTTAACAGGCCTTTGCTCTGCTCTCTGATTTATCCACTCTCACTGAGTATCCGACTCTGAAAGGATGATTCTTAGAAAACCAGCTCCCAGCTTGGGTTCCAGTGGAAATCCAGAGAACAAGAGTTTCCCACCAATGGCCCTAAACATGGCTGTGAAGTTTTATCAAAAAAGAACTTTGGCTGGGGATTTAGCTCAGTGGTTTCGCCACCTGCTGCGCAAGCGCAAGGACCCGAGTTCGATGATGCCCGGTACCAAAAAAAAAAAAACTTTGTATTTTTTTCCCAGGCCAAAATATAATAACTCACTTATACCTGGAAAAGGTATGTTTTGGGGAAAAAAAAACAGATTGCATTTGCCAATAGCAGAGAACAGTACTCTTTTTCATTTTTAAACTATCCTTTCTGTGCAAAAACCATGTAAAGTTCAGATGTGTGTTTATTAGCCAGGGACTAAAAGAACAAAGCAAGCTTGTTGGCGGCAGGCAAATGAAACCCATGAAAGCTGCAGGGCTTTGCTTCAGGGAAGTCTCCTTGCACAGGGTTTAAGCAGATTGCTTTGTAAATAATAAACACTTACCTGGCAAGGCCACTAGAGGCTACTAAAAGGACTTACAGCCAAGGCACAGGGCGGCCCCTGTCTTAGCTGGTGGCAGGACAGTAATGAGATTCACAGTCATGATGTGCCCCAGGTTTAATAGAGGTGAAAGAAGTAGCCATCCCCAGCCCCTGACTGCATCCAGAATTCAAACCTGTAACTTTGGCCATCTGGATCTCAGAGGGAATGCGGGGAGGAAAGGGTGGTGGGGAAGCACAGAAAACCCTCACTATGCATGACCTTGTCCTCCTAACAAGAGCTCAGGCTTGGATGCCACCAGCCACTCATCTATTCTGGCTGTCACTTCCTGCACTCTATCTACCTTCCCTGAGCCTCGGTTTCCTCCTCCATGAACTTGTGAGTCTTCCAGGGGGTCTTCCCTGGCCAGACCTGCAATTCATTGCTCTTTCAGCCAATTGGGGTGCTGGCTGTGTCACCACTATGTGCATTGTTCTATATGTTGAGGACACAAGGGGCCCAGGTTCCTAACCTCAGGGGGTTGAAGTACTAGTCCTGGGAGGTAGACAGTGAACACATACACAAGCCAGAGTGTTATGTCAGATTGAGGTATGTGCTGTGCAAAAGACAGGGTAGGGGAATGGGACAGAACTGACTCAGAGGTGACATGGAACTAAGACCCAGGGACACTTGCAGAGTGTGGAAGAGGGGCTTTTATTTGAAAGGATTGAATCCAGGGCCTTTGCTACACTCCCAGTCCTTTTTATCTTTTATTTTATAACAGGGTCTTGCTAAATTGCCCAGTTTGGGGTCACACTTGTGATCCTCCTGCCTCAGCCACCCAGAGTTCTAGGATTACAGGTGTGAGCCACCACAACGGACTCCATCTTTCTTATTTCATGTATACCCACAGTGTCTGGACTCTACCTGGCACTTCGCAAGTACTCAATAATTATGTGTGGAAGCAAAGGTGGAAGGGAGCAGTGGAAGAAGGAAACATAAGACATACTATGAGCACAAAGGAGAAGGTACCGGGGACTGAACTTGGTTCCTCAAAGAATCCTAGGAGCTTCATGTGAATTTGGCCCAGTCTCCTGAGCCATCACCTCGTATCACCACTGGGGTGCATGACTTGCTTGTTTCACCCTGTCTCTGACCAAAGTACTGCATGCCATGTCCTAGAGAGCCCTGCCTGTCACAGCCTATGTAACAAAGAAATGTCACACTCGCCCGAGGCCACCGATGGAGGTCGTTCAGAGGCCAAGTCTCAGTGGGAATTTTTTTGTTTGTTTTTTGTGATACTGGAGATTGAACCCAGGGCCTTCTCACTGGGCTACATCCTCCACCCTTATCCTTATTTTTTGAGACAGGGCCTCACTAAGTTACTAAGTAGCCCTGGCTGGGCTCAAACTTGAAATCTTCCTGCCTTAGCTTCCCAGAGTGCTGGGATTACAGGTACGTGTCACCAGGCCTGGCTCAAGCGGGGATTTTGTGCATATGCATGGGAGGGGGGCAGGCATTTTATTGGCCCGATGCAGCCTGCTAATTGGAATCCAGGCTCCAGTGAAGTTAACCAAAAGTTCTGCAGCAAATACATATGGAACTGGACCAGCATAGAGAGCAAGCAAGTGTTACTAGCTGAGGAGGGACTCGGACTGCACTCCAGAGGGCTCTGAGCAAAGTGACTATGACAAAGCAACTGTTCCTCTGCTCCAAGGTGCTGCCTCTTAGGATTAGGACCAGGGTTTGAGTTATACCAACAACTGTTTTTCAAAGTTCACCAACCAGCCCTGTAGCTTTTACCTCGGTGCCATTTTAGCTAAACAGTTGGCTGCTATCACAGACTATCACAGGCTGCATGGCTTATAAACAATAGACATTTATTTCTCACAGTTCTGGAGGCTGGGAGTGAGAGGGTAGGCCCCAGCACAGCTGGGATCTATAGAGGGTCCCTTCCTGGTTCGGAGATGGCCAGCTTCCTGCTGTGTCTGCCCCTGGTTTTCTGGAATCTAAAGACACTCACCCCATTCCTGTGGGTACTGTAATCACATTCCAGAGGCCTCACCTCAAAATACCATCCCACAGGGGGTTGGGGACACAAACATTGTCTATTGAGCATAAATTTATTTGTTCTTGTATAAAATCCCAAGGTTCTGAGCCTACTATATAAAGAGGAGACTTCCTGCTCCCATGGAGAATGGTCTGAACTTGACCATGAATCTCTGCTGTTGAGCTGCTGTCTCTCAGGAGGAAGGAGATGGCTCATGGTCTTCCAGTGCAGGTCAGAAAAAGACCAGCACAAGCATCCTTACAGTTGGAGGCCACAAGTCCACATCTCTGTGGGAGGGTTCCGGCAGGTAGCTATGGAGGTGACCTGGCCACCTTCTCCAGGAAACACATCTCTGGCCTGGGTGGGCTCTGCTAAGGAACCATGCCTCCCTCTTTCCTGAGCTTCTCCAAAATGCTGATTCTGAACTCTAAGGTCCAGATCCCAGCAGGCACTGGGGTCTCAGAAACAGAGCAAGCTCTGTCCACTCACTGGCAGTGGCTGATGCTTCTCTGTGTTTCCCTCTCTAACAGAGGCACCATTGGTGGGGACAGGACAATGAGGAACGAGCAGAAGAGGAGCTCAGTCATCCTCATCCTCATCCTCATCCTCAGTGTCTTTGTTGGGGGTGCACCTCTGGAAGCACTGTACCACGGTGGCCAGGAAGAAGCTAGAGATGATGGCGGCAATGGAGACAGCAACACCTGAGAAGATGATGATGAACAGGTCCGTGAGTGACAGGGTGAACTTGCACTCACTGAAGCTGGCCTCAGACAGCTCATGCAGGGCCACCCTCCGGCTCTCAGAGGGCAGGGAGCACTGGATCCCATCCAGGCCTGTGGGGAGAAGGCAGAACAAGACAGGTTCAGGATGGGGCCCATGACTGCCCAGCAGTTCCTAAAGTGAGCACTTCCTGTGGGTAGCAGAGCTGGAGGACCCACACACACACACAAAAAAAACAGGAAAAGCTGGTCTGAGTGGAAATTAAACCCTTCTTCGTGTGATTTTTTTTTTTACTTGGTGGACTGGGGACCCAAGCCAGGGCCTCACACATGTTAGGGAAGTGCGGTACCACTTGAGCTACATCCCCAGGTCTGAAACCTTTTTTCAAAAGCCTCATAGTAATCTTCACAGGAAAAATCAGAACATGCTGGTCTTGACCTACTTTTTTTTTTTTCTTCAGTACTGGGAATTGAACCCAAGACCTTCACAATGAGCTACATCACCCACCCTTGTTGTTTTTTATTTTAAGACAAGGTCTCACTAAATTGCCCAGGCTGGGCTCCAGCTTGGGATCCTCCTGCCTCAGCCTCCCAGAGTGCTGACATTAGAATGTAAACCACCATGCCTGGCTAAGACTTAGTATTTTTTTTTATCTGAAATTACTCAGGGCAGGGAAAGAAGACCACCATGCTCTGCCTTAGGAATCTGTAGACCTCACCCCAGACATGGGTAACAGCCAGCATGGTAGGGGGAGCAGCAGCCATCATAGTGGGACACCAGCTGTGCCAGCCAATGAAAGTTCAGTTTTTCCAGCTGGGTGCCACCCTCTTCTTCCTTGTCCTCAGAGCAGAAAGGGACAGGGAACTTGTGCAGCCCTGTAGAAACCCCACTGCCCCGAAAGGGTTTCCCTTGATAGGAGTGGGAAAGTGAAGACAAAGGGTCTCCCTGGACAGGTGAGGGAGGTACAGCTGGGGGTGGCCTCCCCCATGGTACTCAGGGCTCAGGAGCTGGGGTGCAGATTCCATGTGCTGAAGACTGTGCTACAGTGCAGGTTCCCAGGCAGCACCCCTGGAGCATCACACTCAGGGCAGGGCAGGGACCCCAGGGTTACATTTTTAATAATGAGGCACTGCTGCTGACCCCAAGGCCTACGTTGAGAAGCACTGTTCTCTAGCTGTCTTAGGGGAGTGGGAGGGGTTTGAGACCTTCCAGGGACTCTCACCCCCAGGATGACCAGGGTCCCTCTTAGACTCTTATCTATTGAGGTTGTCTGTAAAGGTTCACTTGAAGGAAGCATGACTGAGTTAAAAAGTTTCAAACCCTCCAGTCTAGAAAAACATCACAACCAAGTAGGTGCTGAGTCCTTGCCTTATAATCACACCACACCACTGCACCAGTGTATACCAGACAGAACTTCCCAGGGGCCCAGATCTATTCTAAGCACGTCACATCCAGGAATCCATGTAGCCCTTACAAAGACTCCATGGGGCAGGTCCCAACCTCATCCCCATTTCCAGGTGGGGAACCGGCTCAAACAGGAGATGTAACTGGCTCAAAACTGCACTACTAGTACATATGGGGCTGAACCTGGATTCCAACTCACCCAAATCAGGCCCCAGAGACCTGGCCTGTAGCCAGGATACCTCCAAAAGGAAGAGAAAGGGAAGAAAGGCCAAGGAACAAGGGAGTTGGGTGCAGGGAGCAGCCTGTGTTCTAGGAAGAAAGTCATGGCTGCCAGCAGGTGCAAGCCACACAAGGTGCAGCTGTGATGCGTTTAAAACACTTTAGAATCACCTCTGATGGCTCTTCCCTAATCACTAAGCTGCTCTGTTGAAGAATCATGTCTGCCATCAATACTTGCCTACTGTCAAGTAGAAGACAGCTGCACAAACTGCAGGTGAGTGAGTGTATCCTCTCCCTCCACTTAGATGAGCCTTATGGGAGACTTGCCTAAGACTGAGAGAAACAGCACTGTGAGACGTGGCTCTCATTCATTCATTCAACAAACAAGTGTGGAGTAATTTGCCTGCACCAAGGGATTGACGATTAAGGAAATAAGGTCCCTAAGCCAAATTCTAGTGGGAGAAAACAGACATCCATTCATTCAGCAAATGCTTTTTTTGAGTATTTACTTTGTACTAAGTCCCAGGGTTACAGCTGGAACATAACCAAGCCCTTGTTCTCATGCAGCTGATGTTTTAGACAATAACTGATCTACATCAAGACATATGTAACACAATTGGGATGAAATATTGGGGTGCTGTGATAAAGAATATGTGGGATGAGGGACTGTCTTAGATGGTGTGGTCAGTAGGTGCCTAAAGATGCGAAGGAGCTGGCCATGGGGAGAATTTTCTAAGCAGAGAAGTTGGGAAAGAATCCAGGCCTGCTGGGTGTGGTGGCACACACCTGCAATCCCACCACTCAGAAGGCAGAGGCAGGAGTATTGCCAAGAGTTTAAGGCCAGCCTAAACTATATAGCAGACTCTGTGACAAAACAAAACAAAAGAACCTAGGCTTGTGGAACACAGTGTAGCCAGAGGCAGCAGAGGGAGCAAAGGAGAGTTGTCTATGAGCCATCCTGGGAGAGTTGGATGTGTCTTAAGATAAAGGCTCCGACAGCCAGGACCTCTAAGTGAACACTATGAACCTGTACAGCCTCATCCTCACCACCAGAGTGCACTGGACACAAATCAAAAACACAAACTTGGGAAGTATTGAACCACTGGGGACTGCTTGTTACAAGCACAATCTATCCATCATGAGTAACATGCACAATATAAACTATGTACAAACTCAAATGACTGCCATGATTCTACAAAGCTCAGAAGTAAGAGAATGCAAGAAATTTAGATGCAATCCAGGTGTGATAGTGTACCCCTATAATTCTAGTACTCTAGGAAGCTAAGGCAGGAGGATCACAAATTTAACCCCAGCCTGGGCAACTTAGTGACTTATTGAAATACTGTCTCGACATTAGCATAGGAAAAGACTTCATGAACAAAACCTCAGTAGCACAGGAACTGGCACAAAGAATCAACAACTGGAATCTCATCTTAAAAAGGTTCTGCACTGCAAGAGAAACCACCAACAGAGCTAACAGACAACCTGCAATCTAGGAAAAAAATTTTAGCAGCTGTACCTCAGACAAAGGTCTACTATCTAGAATATATAAAGAACTGAAAAATTCAGACCCCCCCAAATTCAAAGACCCAATTCAAAAACGGGCATCTGAAATGAACAGACATTTCTCAAAGAAGTAAAAGCAGCAAATAAATATATGAAAAAATGTTCAACATCACTGGTCACTCAAAAGATGCAGATGAAAACAACACTGAGATTCCACCTCACCCCAGAAAGAATGGCTGCTATCAAGAAATCAACAAATAACAAATGCTGGCGGGGGTGTGGAGAGAAAGGAACCCTTCTCCATTGCTGGTGCGAGTGCAGACTGGTGCAACCACTGTGAAAGTCAGTATGGAGATACCTCAAGGAACTAGGACTAGAGGTCCCATTTGACCCAGCTATTCCCCTGCTGGGCATCTTCCCAAAAGAATTAAAAGAATCATACCACAGCAATATATGTGCACCCATGTTTATAGTGGCACAGTTTGTAATAGCTAAAGCTTGGAAACAGCCCAAGTGTCCATCAACTGGAAACTTGATAAAGATGTGTTTTTTTAATAAAATGGAGTACTACTCAGCCATAAAGAGTGAGAAACTGAAGACATTTATAGCTAAATGGATGCATATTGAGGCCATACTCTTACGTGAAATAAATAGGACACACATGTGTAAATACCGAATAGTTTCTCTAGTGTGAGAAACTGAAAGTGAAAATAAGGATTAAAATGAATAATTGATAATTTTGGGGGGGAGGTACCAGGGATCGAACTCAGGTCCTTGCGCTTGTGAGGCAGGCAGCAGAACCATTAAGCTAAATCCCTGGCCCCAATTGATAATTTGAAATAGGAAGAAAAAGTCCAAAGGAGTAGGGGATGTGGGAGGGGAAGGGGAAAGAAGGGAAAGGATAAATTATGAGAAAAGAAAAAAATGGAAACAAAGTCTGTGTAAATAGGGAAGGGAGGAAGGGGTGAAGGGCACACAGGTAAGGGGGAAAAAATGAGAACCAAGATACATCATGTACAGGTACGAACACCCAATGATAAATGTAAACGTATTGTATACCTAAAATGTACCAATAAAAGAATTTAAGAAAAAAAAAAGAAATACTGTCTCGAAACATATAAAGGGCTGGGAATGTTGCTCAGTGAGAAGTCTCTGGGTTCAATCCTCCATACTGCAAAAAAGAAAAGAAAAATAAAAAGCAAATAGAGCTAATGAGCTTAGTTCTTCTGTTTCTGATCTGGAAGAAGAAAGAGAAACAATCACAGCAGTGGTGACAGTCACACTGAGCTCACTATGTGCAGACATTGCTCTAAGTGCTGCACAGCTCAGTGGGGCTGGGAGTGCAGCTCAGTGGAACAACACTTGCCTAGCATGCACAAGGCTGTGGGTTCAGTGCCTGACACTGCAGGGAAAAAAAGAAAAGCATTCAAATCTATATGCTGCCTAACTCTAATTCTCAAATATCCCTATGTGGTAGGTGCTCTTGTGCCCATTTTATGGGCAAGAAAACCTAAGTACAGCATCATGGTGGCAAAGCTAGAATTTCAGTCCAGGCACCCAGCTCTATAGGATGACTCCCATCCTTGGGTTGTAAGGTGCCCTTCCCCAGTGGAAGTAACAGGAGATGTGAGGGCACCATTTTGATTTTACACTCACCAGCCTTCAGTTGTGACTTACTCTGACATCCTTCCACCTCCCAGGAAAACTTTCATTTGCTCTCTTTTTCAGTGCTCCCAGGTTTGAAAGAGCTGAGCCCTCAACCCACTTGTGGCATTACCTGAAAGTTAAGATGACTTCTTCCTACCTGGCTAATTAAGGAGCTTGTTCTCAGCACAGTGCACCCTTACAGATTACCTGGCACCCCCACAACTCTTGGTGTCCTCGTGCCTTTCCTTCTCCAGCTCAGAAACAGAAGATAGAGGAAGAGTGGCTGAGTCTCCTCATTCCTTCTGTCCTGGACCACAGCTTAAATTGTGCACAGCCA